ACAGCCGCCTCGCCTGGTCATTCACCTCTGTCAGACGAGCTTAGTACGCCGGCGAGAGAGCGTCGACTGATCCGCGCTTAAACTTGATATCAATGCAACAATTTTAAACGGGCCTGATTCGCGAATGAGACGATGTAGCGACATGAAATAAAAAGCAGTTTTTTCCGGCACGCGTTTCTACATACGTCTGTGAGAGTCTCTCGTTGCTCATTTGGAAGAGTCGAGTGTTATGATTGAATTTGATAAATTGATAAATTGATTAAATTTGATAAATCTGATTTTTCTCACATACGTCTCGTTTAAATAATATTTGATAACTTGGAAACTTTTCGAAATTTATATTTATTTGGTTGTCACGCAAGATGTCTGGATTTTTAGGTGTTAAAACTCGTTAAACTAAATTAAAAAATTCGCTACGCCGACCGTACGCCGCGAGCACGTTCAATACACAACACGCGCGATTTCTGTCATTCGCAATCGAATTAAAGATCGAAGTTCAGATTCCTTCCTTCGTCTCGCCTATTGTAACAATGACGATATTGAATAATTAATAATGAATTAATATTGTAGAGATCACGAAATTAAATAATTAATGATAAATTAATATTGTAGAGATCACGAAATAAAAGACAATTACTATTGCTATTTTCAAAATTTTTGTTCAACTTTATGAATTTTACCCGCACACGAATATTGGTACGCATTGTTAATCATTTTCTATAAATTTCCAACACATATCACATAATCATGAAACAAATATATGATAAAGAGTTTATGAATAGGCAAAACTTATTTCACACATATCCATTAATTACACAGAATGTCTGAATTTAGATACAAGCGCTCGTGTGCAGGTAGAACTCATTAAATGAATAGAAAAATCTAGCAGTTTACAAGATAGTAGCGAATTTTTAAATTTAGTTTAACGAGTTTTCACACTTAAAAATCCAAATATCTTGTGTGACGACTAAATATAAATTTCGAAAAGTTTTCAAGTTATCAAATATTATTTAAATAAAATATATGTAAAAAAAATCATATTCATCAGATTTCTCAAAAATATCAACAAATATCATTTGAGTATAATAAGATAAAAAATTGTTTCGCTCTCCTACGTCTGTTCGAAAAGGAGAATTACGCATCTTCTCGGGGTAAAGTTCAAACAGCTGTGTGATCGCGGTCGGAAACGTTCAATCGCCGACGAAACATGAGGATCGCGATGTCGAGCGCGTTGTGCTGAATCGTTCGAGAGGAGCAGGCAGGGAGAGCACGGGCTCACTCGTAAGATCGTAATGGAATGGTTGGTCCTGCTCCTCTCTCCCCCGCGCCGCGAGAACAGAGATCCCGGATCGTTCGCGCTCGCGATCATATCTTGGGGTGAGATCTTAGGATCGTGCGCGATAGAGCAAGATAATGGAGATAATCTCCGGCGCGGCTTCGCTCAAAAGATCGCACACCCACGCGCGGCCCCGACGAAGATCAATTCGCACGTGGTACAACGAACCTCCGGCGGTGCCGCGAAAGAATCCACCTGGGAAACGAGTCGATTCCTGTCATCCGCCACGGATATCGCACTCGAAAGCAGCTACTGAACAATACTGAACGCTCGATAATTCACTGGAGACTCGGGAGCTTCGAAGGCGAACAGAATGAAGGTAATCATTATAAAATATTTTAATAAGTACATATTCTTATAATTAAGTATATATACTTAATATTTTAATAAGAATAAGTATATATCCTTTAATAAGTATATATACTTAATATTTTAATAAAAATAAGTGCGTCATTCAAAATTTTCACAGATGACAGTTATGTCAAAGAATTAACCCAAACTACAATTGCAAAATACATTACAAAATAAGTGTTATTCATCATACTACAAGTTCGAAGACCATTATCGACACAGAAGTACAAGGTTATTTTGAAATTTCTTTTATAGGTGAAAGTGCCTCTAAATGTGCTTATAAACCAACTCAGACGGTTTATAAGTTATATTTAGAGACACTTTTATCGATAAAAGAGAGTTCACAGAATAAAGATTTATTATTTTTCGGAACTATCGGGTAAAAATACATAACGGAACGGAATAGAACAGTATGAAATAGGTGAGCGACATTACATGTTGTGCTCAACACACAACGAAAGTCTTAAAGGTGGAAAAACGTCACGCTGATTTCAGTCTAGCAAATCGTATAACGTCCAATCCCTTCTCGCCATTAACGAGCGGCCGGCGGTACGTGCCGGCGCACGTATAGCAGGCGCAAAAAGCAATTCTTAATAAACAATAACAGATTTCACGACGGCGAAACAGTTATATCCCATTACGGGTTCTTGTGCGTTAGGAGACCGCTCGTAGGGCTCGCGCATTCTTCCGACTAACCTCTTCAGGGCGTTATCGCGCACCTCGCGGCTCGTAAGTCCGACTCCATTGGCTCGATTGCCCATTACGGTTCTAAACACCTGTCGGTGAAATGGGTCGTGGCGCAATTAAAAGCGAGGGGCCCCGCGCGCCGGCCACGGACAGGAGCGAGAGCCGACGATAATTAACGACTCTTCGCGTTACCCCGATAATCGCTGCTTGCGAATCACAGCCGAGCTAGCCTCATCTAGCCTCCCTAACGCGCGTCGCATCTTCCACGTCTCCTTCGTCCTCGCCGTCGTCGGCCGCGGCTCGTCGTATGACGTGGAGCGTTGAAATTACGCCGGCGCGGAATGCGAATAAACTTCATCGTCTTTCTTTTCGGTTCGTGCGTTCGCACGAACACACACGCGTCGGTGTGTTTACGAGGAGTCACGGCACTTTCCCCGGACAAAGGACGCGTTCGTAAGTTTCTTCATTAAGAAAATCGACGGTGACGATACACGCGCGATCAAGAGAACCGTCCCGATGTCGCCGCGGAGAGTAACTGCCAGCTTTCGTAATTAGGGTGACAATATTCGCCTTTATCTTCTCGCATCTCCGAGTCCCCCCCGTCGCATTAAAATAGCGTAGCACGTTCCGAGAAGCGATACGGAGCCCCTTTCCCAACGATCTGATAATGCGGAGCGTCAATATATCCTTTTATTACGGCAGGCAGCATCGCACCCCTGCCTCCTCCTTATCTTCTGCTCCGTCACGCGACGGACAAGGGGTAGATACGGCGTGCCTAATGAACGCGATTCAGAATACGCGTCTTCCACGGAAGTGACGGAAATTGAATTTCATCGGCGCGCTAGTGATTACCCCGCGTGGAGATGAATTGCACGCTACGCTAAGCGAGATTGCGAGTCGCGCGCGTATCTGTGTTTATGTACGTTTTATCCTTTGGAGCCGTCAGTCAAGCGCGGCCGATGAGACGGACGGAGGTAACGGCCAGGTGCTCGTGTGCGAGGAACTCAAACATCGAATTCACACGTGGCCACGCCTCCGACAGCACGGACACGTATGTCACTTTCCACGGGCTCTTCGGAGCCTCTCGCTATCGCTATTGTATACGGGATATTGTACAAGAAGCGATGATCATACATAGAAACGTGCAGGTAGCGCTCGTCAAGATGAAAATATCTCGGCATGCGCAAAGAAAGAAACTGTCTTCGATTTGAAACGATGCAAAAAATACTATCAATATAAATGCTACGATATAAAAGTATCATTTTCACCGTATATATTTGGACGATAGTACTCTCTAAATTTCTTGGAGTGGAATCTCACTCAAAAGTATACTGAAAAGTATTTTCACTCGGAACGAGAATGATAATGTTACTACTCGGAATTTCAAGAGTGAATGTCTCAATCAATTAGAATAAATATATTCCTGTGACGACAAGGAATAGAGGAGACCGGGGCTATCTGTTTACGGGGACTATGTGTCCATAGTACTGCTGTCTCAGGTGTGTTAAGAAGTAGATATCTCTACTATTTTCCACTGAGAGAAAAATTATATTAAAATCAACAAATATTTCTTTGA